TTTCCTAAGATAGTTTCCTAGGTTTTGTATATATACGTGTATTATCTTTACCAATTAATTAAGGAGAAAGTATACTATTCTTTTTCTTTCTTCGTTCACAGTTAATATGTAGACAGAATCTTGAGTTGATTATGAAATTGGTGGTGTTTTGCCTCTGTTGCAGCTGAAATTGTTTTTCACAGAAGTCACATTTGCTAAACCAAAAAGCAGTCGTAATTCAAGCATAGGTACTGATATATTTCCTCATTTTCTCTAGAATCCTTTTTTAGAAGTTATATGATCTTCCAATCTCATATTTACCCTTCTCTAGGGATATTCCTGAGAATTTGGACCTATCCATTCAGTTCGGAGTGTGTCCTATTTTTACCTATCAAATGCCACTCCAAAAACAGGAAGGACAGCCTTTTAGATTTTCAAATTGTTTGATCTACTGCAAATCTTTTCTAGCACCTTAATTTTCTTAGGAATCATTTGGAAAAGAACCAAACAGACATAGAGGATATGGCCCGCTTGCCTGCTGAAGAAGTAAGATAGGAGATACAAATCACTTTTCCCTACCATTGTAGCAACAAAGAATTCGGGCAGTTAACGAAGACAGATTTTCACATGCTTCCAATGGTAAATGTATCTTGAGAAAACTTACAAAGACATTTGAATTTTTACATGCTTCCATCAGTGAAAAGGCGATATTCCATAAGATTCAACAGCATTTTTCTTTTTAGAACAATTAATCTCGCTATATATTAAGTCAGTCTTCCCACTGAACTTGCTATTGGTGTAAGCATCATTTTTTATATTTCTAGGTGGCTGAAAATTTGTAGCTAAAGAATTATCAGTTGTTTACATGTTAAATAGATTCTGTGTTTGGTTATCTAAAGAGATTTTAAAGTTCAGCATACAATATACAGTTTATATTGGATTTGGTAAACCTAATTTTTTACCATTATATGTGATGCAGAAGCATTTGCAGTTTGTGAAAATTACTCTCCCCCTGAAGGTTTTAATGAGAAAGATCTGCATCGACTCCTTGAAAAGATTGGAAGTCCATCTGGTGCAGATGATCTAGGTAAATTCGTTACTAACACTTGCTTTTGTCTCGACTCTCGAAGAAAAGAACAGTTTCCATTTCCATTTGGACCATTAATTATTATTCATTGATAATCCCCGAATAAAGAAAAAAGAAATGAATAACAAAAAAAAGGATCGCTTGTGCTAACTATATGTACTCTTCTCTAGATATGTATACATGCAGGTGTGTATATTGTTTTTCCCTTATATTTAATGAATGGGTTAGGGGGAATTTTAAGTGTCTGAGTGTGACTGCGTTCCTTGTTATACTGAAGGAAAGCTTTTATTTTGTAAGATGGATTTGCATCCCTTCACATCAATGCTTTTATCTGGCAAAAAGATATTCTCAGAAATTGTAACAGAATTATCACTCCAACTTCAATTAAAAAATGATCACTAATTCTACCTGTGGTTGGTCTCTTCTTTTTGAGTTCTGATTCTGCGAGACTATACAATGTCAATATGTTCATTTTTGTTTCACTAAAGGATTGTTCATTGACAGATTGCAGTAGTGGGTGGTTAGAAGGTCCTAACAATGTGCATATTCCATTTTTGGCCTGCGGATGCCTCAGCTGGTATGACTCTGATCATTCATATCCACTTCCTGAAGTTGCAGATGCATCTTACCAGAGCTTAGATCCTGTGCAACGTCCTATTTTGCCACCTTACAAGCGAGCTCTGGAAATGAAAAAAGCTTCAAGTCATGGAGTCCGAGGTCTAGAAAAACTCTCCCTTGCTCCCTGAGCATGGTGGTTCACTGGATAGATTTTAAGATCTAAATTTTTTTTTTGATGGATAATAACTTTCATGAAAGTTACTTGTTTTCTTGTGCTAGATTGTGGGGTTCTGGTTGACTATATCCTTGCAAATGAAATGAAAAAACTAGAACAGCTAAATGTTATAACTTAATATTAGACAGGGGCCATTATTTTTGATATATGAAATCTCTTTTCATTCATTTATGTGGTTAGCACACATGGTGGCAACTGAATGATTTGGCCATTTAAATGCTATGAAATCTCTCATTCATTACATTGAAATGCTTTGCCGGATTACAAGGTGAGTTCATAAACTAATGAGTAGCAGACAATTTCTTTCAACTGCAGTTTTCAATGAATACTTAGATAGATGATTTCTTGCTATAACCTACACAACAGATTCATTTCTATTTCATTTACATCCTTTTTCTTCCTCGAAGAAAAATACTTCTAGCAAGAACTTGTGACAGAATTTGATCTTTGCAAAGATGATGACAAATTCAAGAACTCGATGCAGTCCTCTATAGCCTCTGCCCTCTGAGAATCAAGTGTTTCAGCATATGAATGTGACCTTGCTAAAGAAGCAGAAGAAACTTTACGCGAACACCTATTTCTACTAGACATACAACGAAGTGCTCTGGCGGCCTTTGCTCTGGTACTCCTGAAGAATCCGTACAGCGAAAATCCGGACTTCCTGGTATGTCCGGAACTCCATATTTCATTTATTTTCTTCTTGTTTCCATCGGCTTTTGAACCATCAGCATACTTTCGGTAAATGATTGGCATGTCATTGACATCATAACTGAAACTCACTCTTCTACTCATTGTCCTTCGCATCACCCTATGGGAAGAGAGATAGGTGTGTTGTGCTCTGTGTGTATGTGGGTGAGAGAGAGAGAGAGAGAGAGAGAAGAAGAAGAAGAAGAAGAGACAATTGGTGATGTAGAGGGGCGTTTTTATGGAGAACTGGTGGGAGGGAAAGAGAAAAATGTAGAATAGAGTGAGGAAAAGATAGGAGGTTTAACAATCTTAATTATTGGTAATATGGTCATAAAGTTTTCCTGTTCTAGGCCTACTCAATACGCTTTAAGAAATTTGGTAGGACAAGTAGGAATTCTATGGCTTGCAGCAGAGGTAAACAAAACCAAGGATATCCAGGTCAAAAGGTAAGAGAGCTTAGAGAGGAGTGGGGTAGAGTGGGGACTGAACAGGAATACAATAGACTAGTATAATTTCAAGGTACAAAAGGGTGGAAGACTGAATTAAAAAAAAAAAAAAAGAAGAGGAAAATGCTATTGATACTCCCCTTGGCAGCTTTTCTTTTCCCATGTCTCTCGTTTTCTTGGCCACCTCAATTCTAGACCAGACATATCGAACCTCAATGAAAAGAGGATTGAGGTACGTTGACAGTCGACTTAACTTGGCATGCCGTGTGATGGTGAATCTTAGGACATGAATATTTGATGAGCATATGTAGAGATGGCCATTATGCAATCATTTTGCGCCTTTCTATGTTTGCATTAGAAAAATTCCATTTTGAATTATTGTATGGGAATTGGGATGGGGTGAATATCAAGGAAAATCCCATCTTTACCTTTATTTACATTCTTGTGCACACTTCTGTGCTGAAAATGATGTCTGGTCGGAATTGGAAAACTTTTGACTCTCTCTCTCTCTCTCTCTCTCTCTGACACCCCCACCCCCCCCCGCCCCATGGGGCACCCCAACAATTATAAGGAAAATGTTTAAATTTTGTCCAAAAATCTCACCCACACCCAACAATATATAAGTCCATGTTTGGGCCTCATTAAAATTTTCATTTTCATTCTTCTATTCCTTTTTAACCATACATTCTTCAATAAAATAATATTTTTCATCACGTCAATAACATTTTTTTTTTTTCAATTACACATTCTCCATCAATCTACTATTCCAAAATACATTCTTCCAAAATAATGTGGTTTAAACACACCCTAAATAAGATTTGTCCAAAAGCATACTGTACATGACTACATGGATTAAGATATAAATATAGGCATAATGATGGTTGTCCCCCACCTATAGGGGGTGCCAAGTGGCTCCCCTAGTAGTACAGGGCCTATGTGGCCATGAACAACCAGCATCGCTCTAAATATAGCTGGGTTTTGCTATTTGTCCAGGGCCACGTGGGCCCTAGACGAACAGGGGATGCATGTGGTGCACCCGTGGCCCTGGACGAACAAGGGATGCATGTGGCAAAACAAGGCCCTGTCACTCTAGCAAAACATATATCCTCATTGAGTAATCAGTTGGCAGTCGGATAATCTTGACTTCACATCTATCTGTATCACCTTACAATTGAAGGACACAGCTGAAGGCAAGCACGGATTAGTAATTGTTATTACAAATGGATCGGTATTCAATAACCAGTCCATAGTAGTTGGAAATTGGTTTAGAAAAGGTTTTTTTTTAACCAATTATTAAAGCAGGTTTATTATTCGAATATAGAAGTTTGAAAGGACAAACATATTTTACTTTGCTACTAGATTATTATAGTATTTTTATTTGCTCGAAATGACGGGAACAATACATATTTAAGGTAATTAAAAGATACAATTTCAAAATTAACAAAAATGTTTTAAAACTTAAAAAATAGGTCATAATTGAATTTAATTAATTATAAATATTTAATTAATTAATTAAATAAATTAAAGTCACAGTGCTATACAATTTATGGTCACAATTATAAAACGTCATAATCACAAATTTTAAAAGTCACAACTTATTTATGTATCACGAATTATCAAATTAGTTGATTACGTATTTTCCTCGATCATAAATCATAAATTTTATAGGTCACAATTTATTAATAGATCATAAATAAAGAAGTTTGTAAGCAACAACTTATATTATGGTCACAAATTATTAAATTAATTGATCACAACTTAACAAATTATAAGTCATGATTACAAATTGGGTAATGCTACATGCACCGAATTTTTACATAATTCGTTACCGACTAGTCACAGTAAGGGGTGAGGTGAGGATCACATCTTGGGATTTTTTAATTCACGTGGGACCCACGTGCATGTCAGAGGGGGTAAACAATTCGTTAGAGAGTATTATGTACAAATAGATTTATCCTTACAAATTTAGTTACAATCTCGTATTTTTAAGGTTACAAATTATCTATTTTATCGGGTAACAAATTAACCAATTTATTGTCAAAATTACCCAAATAACCGGTCACAAACACTCTTCATCCCCCTACCGACACCAATCGAATGTCGCATCATCTCACCACCACATTTGTGACCACAGCCGCCACAAACACCGACAAACATCGCGTCATCTAGATCCTTTGCTAGCACCACCAGCACTTTCGTCTGCACCACCATCATCCATCACTTGTACGATCACCACCTCACCACAACTATTTGCAAATCGCCAACCACGACCAACAAAAAACAACATAAAACCTCAGCTAAGGAGCTGATGAGAAAGATACAACCCAAAAACTAGCAGATCATCGCTACTGCGCAGGTTAGGAAGAAAAAAACCTAGCAGACCAGAAACAAACCCAACAGATAGCAATGCTTCTGTAACGTGCAGATCATTGTCATTGTGCAGCGACAGCGCTACTGCAGATCATCGCTTCCTAATCTATCGTTGCTGCACTACGGAAAATCAACGTAGCTGTACAGAAGCTGCGTTACGGGAGATCATCTTCACTGCTCAGCGACGATGCGCACAAGCACCATTCGTTGCTTTGAAGGGAAGTCTCCGTGAGCTCCGTGCCGACGTGCTTTTCTGTGATGGTGTGTGATAAAGAGAAATAAGAGAGAATGGAGAGTATAGAGATTAGAGTTTGGAATGAAAATCTGATGGCGTGAATGGAGGTGAGTTGGGTATGTAGATTAATTTTATAATATTATTATTAATATTAAAAATTTGAATTATCACCTCCTTTTTGAATAAAAAACTTTTAAATCGAATTTTTGAATTGGAAAATTAAAAAAAAATGTGAAAGTGTAATTTCCACCGAAATAAATTTTTGGAGACTGGGAAGTTAGGGCTGAAATTAGGCCGATTGGAGTTGTGATAGGTTGGAAAATTGGAATCAAAACAGGATGTGACCATCCCACGTTAGATGATGAAAAGTCACTTAACACTTAGTCCATGTTTGGACTCCAATGTGACCATTCCACGTTAGATGATTAAAAGTCGCTTAAACACTTAGTCCATGTTTGGGCTCCAAACTCATTTTCACCCACACATTCTCTCATAAAATAATATTACACATAAATTCAAAAGTTCTCATTTTTTTTAACAACACATTTTCGAAAAATTCACGATTTCAAAACATATTTTTATTTTAATGGAGCCCAAAGAGGGACTTAACATTGCCCAAGTTGAAGATTTGGGTTTAGGACTCAAGGTGTACATATGATTTGTTTGAGTCTCATTCTTTAAAAAATTATTTTTCTTCAAATTCATTTTTAATTATATATTTGTGTAATAAAAAAATTTGTACCTAAATTAAAAAAAAAAAAAAAATCTCTACTTTTAACTATACATTATTTTAAAAAATCATTATTACAAAATTCATTTTTTTAAAAAGGGTTCAAACAAAGTCAAAGTTTTCCTAATGGAGATGATTTACAGTAGTCTTTTTGATATCTTTTTATAGAAATTAATTTCTTATAACTATTGACACGTGAGTCATAATCACTTAGTCTAGACAGTACACGTTGATAGTCTTCCACAAACATTTGAATAAAGTGACATTTTGTCCTATACACTACTAGTATAAACATGAATTTTTGCCTGCGAACATGTTCGATCTAAAGGTAATTATAACCAACTTGGCCCGATCAGTTTAATCGAAAATCGGGGTCCAAAATCGAACCGATTATGCACAGAAATTTATATTTTTAAAAATTGCCCCAGAACCCCATCGACCCGTTACCAATTTACATTTTTGTCAACTTATTTAATTTTAATTAT